CTGCCTCCATAATATAAGGAAAAAAGAATACTCTTTCCACAGTCATCAAATATTATAAAAAAACTTCACAGTCTGACTCACCTTTATCAAAGGTAAAATGTTACTGATACATTTCATGATTATTTTGATCCTCAGTAGTTGCTAAACACAAAATAAATTTTGGATGAACTTTTCTATGTTTGAGTTTTCCAAAGCAAGATACCAATACAAAATGTACTGAACTGGCAGAAGTCCATGGGCTAAAGAAAAAAGAATTAATTATAAAATGTTGACTAGCTTTATCCTTTTAATTTTATAACAGTTTCAGATACTGAGACCTAATTGGTTTCTTGTGTCTATCCATTATGGACATAACTCAATCTTCTATTTAATATTACTCAGTGCTTTTTGATTGGGGCTTCACTTTGCGACGAAGAAGATCTTCACGTCCAACTTCAACCATTTGTTCTTCCCAAGATTTTATTTCACTGTAATAACGAGCTTTATCATCTTCAGCAAGTTGAATATATACCTGAGAAAAAGTGTAATTGTTAAAATGATTTCTTCAGAAGAATCTTCGCCATTAATTTCTGAAATGCTTCCCTATATACTATAAAAATTACCTTCTTCTTCTACATGTGTAAAGGGGGACTGGAGAAGGAATGTTTTTGTGAGATAAGGTAAGAGATAAAGATTTGTATTAATTAAAATTGTTACAATTTTAGGGGTTGAGATGTGGGGAAGGAGCAGAGGCAGTGTGACTGTCACTGCATACACTGGACACTGAATTTGGTGTGACACTGTTTTAAAAATCAATTTTATTTGCAGTTAAAAACTACCAAAAGAAAAAAGCCAAACTGATTCTAGGAATATGAAATTATTTAAAAATACTTTAACTGTATTATAAGTAATATAAGGTCGTTTTCACATGAATCAAGCCTTACCCTAATACAGCAGTTCTCAACCTGTGGGTCACAACCATCAGAAAACACATATAGCATATCAGATATTTACATTACGATTCATAACAGTAGCAAAATTACAGTAATGAAGTAGCAGCGAAAATAATTTTATGGTTGGGGGTCACCACAACATGAGGAACTGTATTAAAGGGTTGCAGCATTAGCAAGGTTGAGAACCACTGCTTTAATACATTCTCTCACAGATATTCTAACTAGATAGTTGAGACTAAAACCATACTTACTTGCTTTTCAGCACTGGAGAGATTTTTCCAGCTTTCATGTATAGATTTCAGCCTTACCTGTAAAACAACATATGTTTAAATAGCAGATCCAGGGACTTAAGTGATTAAAGAAAAAAATTTTTTTTATTACTCATTTCAAAAAAACTCATAGATACTAAAAATCATCTTTTTACATTATTTTATCATACTCAGATATTAATGCCTCATCAATTCTTAGTATCTTTTTTCTAAATTAAACTTAAAATATACAAAATGACTGGAATAAAGGTACTTATCTTTTTTACTGAGATAATTTTCATATAACATTGTATTAGTTTCAGGTGTACAACATGATTCAATATTTGTATATATTCTAAAATGATCAACACAGTAAGTCGTTAACATTTGTCACAATTTTTTTCTTCTTATGAGAACTTTTAAGATCTACTCTCTGAGCAACTATCAAATTTATTAACTCTAGTCACCATGCTGTACATTGCATCTCCAAGACTTTTTAATAAGTGGAAGTTTGTACCTTCTAACCACCTTTAACCATCTCATCCACCCCCATGCCTGGCAATCACCAATCTGTTTCCTTATCTATGAGCTCAGTTATTTTTTCAGATTCCACATATAAGGGAGATCATATGGTATTTGTCTTTCTCTGGTCTGATTTATTTCATCCTATATAAGAAAAGCCTAATATACTAAGTGTCTGGTTGACCAGTCGGCTGTTCAACCAATCAAAGCATAATATGCTAATGATATGCTAAAGCCATTTAACTGCTCGCTATGAGTGCACTGACCACCAGGAGGCAGACAGTCCATCAGTCGACCAGTCGCTATGATGTGCACTGACCACCAGGGGGCAGATGGTCAATTGATCAACCAGTTCCTATGTGCACTGACCATCAGGGGGCAGATGCTCCAAGTGCTAGATTAGCTTGCTGCTGGGGTCTGGCCGATCGGGACTGAGCAAGATGGTCCAGACATGCATGCCCTGGAGCCCTCCCACGACCCCTCCCCAACTGGCCAACCTCCCACATCCCTCCCCGGCCCCGCCTGTGCACCAATGGGGTCCCTCAGCCTGGCCTGCGCCCTCTCACAATCCAGGATCCCTCGGGGGATGTCGGAGAACCGGTTTCAGCCTGATCCCACAGGCCAGGACTAGGGACTCCACTGGTGCATGAATTTGCACACTGGGCCTCTAGTTTAGTATAATGCTTTCAGGATCAATCCATGTTGTTGCAAATGGCAAGATTTCTTTTTTTTATGGCTAAATTACATCAGTTTCTTTATCCATTCACCTAATGAACATTTAGATTGCTTCCGCATCTTGGCTGTTGTAAATCACGCTGCAATGAACATGGGGGTTCAGATATCTTTTCAAGTTAGTGTTTTCTTTTTTCATTGGATACATACCCAGAAGTAATATTGCTGGACACATGATATTTCTAATTTTAAGTTTTTCAGGAACTGTTTTGTCTTCCATAGAGGGCTGCAGCAACTCACATTCCCACCAACTATGCACAAGGGTTTCCTTTTCTCCATATCCACACCAACACATTACTTTTATCTTTGACAGCAGTCATTCCAACAGGTGTGAGGTGAACTGTGGTTCTGATTTGCAATTCCTTGATAATTAGTGATGTTGAACATCTTTTCATATACCTGTTAGCCATCTTTATGTCTTCTTTGGAAAGATGTCTATTCAGATCCTTTGCCCATTTTTAATCAGTTTTTTTTTTGCTGAGTTGAATTCTTTATGTATTTTGGGCGTTAACCACTTATCAGATATATAATATGCAAATACAGTAGAACCCACCTACATAAGCACCTACGTCACTCACATGGAGCACATACACAGCAGTAATGAAATGAAAAAGTAAAAAAATTTAAAAGATAACAATTCCTGACCTTTACTTGTGGTAAATAAGTAATAAAAAGCATAAAACACATATGTACATACATCAAAATGATGGCATATTTCTTTTTATAAATAAACTAGAGCCCGGTGCACAAAAATGTGTGCACTCGGGGGGAAGGGGGGGTCCCTCAGCCTGGCCTGTGCCCTCTTGCAGTCTGGGACCCCTCGGGAGATAACACCCTGCTGGCTTAGGCCTGCACCTGGGTGGCAGAGGGCAGGCCCAATCCCTAGGTGCAGTGTGAGAGACTGATATAGGCAGGGCCGATTGGGGAGTTGGGGCCCCGCCCCCTGTCATGCACAGAGCAGGGCGGATTGGGAGGGTGGGATGCCACCCCCAGTCACGCTCAGGGTAGGGCTGATTGGGGGGTTGGGGCACCGTCCTCTGTCACACTCAAGGCAGGGTCGATGGGAAGG